TCTGTGGCACATTTAATGTACCTGTTGTTTCTCTGAAAACACAAGTATTCAAGTGGAAAAGATTTTTTACCATTTCTCCATGGTTTGGATCCCATTCATATCAGTTTTCACATAAGTATGCACGCAATGAAAGCAATACATCCATGCTGTGTTTTACATAACTCCAGAGTATGGCTGTCTCGTTTTTTCACCAAACGAGAATTCCCTTGGCTCCTTTGCCCACCATCCTGTTCTGCTGGTTCATTTCTTCTATTGTTTTTCCTGCGGAGTGATACATTACTGTATCTTTCCTGGCTGCAGCTGAAGTCGAGCCATCCATCATCCCAATCACTGAAAATAAGGACCTTATGGACTGGGAGTAAATTATGAAGCTATGGGGGGAGACAGAGTTACATAGAGATTTTTTTTGCAGAAACAGCAATTTTAGGTTGCTATTCATTTTTACATAATATTCCTTTCTTGCTTGGACTTATCCTAAGTGAAATGTAGCAAACACAGGTTCATTATTTTCAGACTATAAATGCATATAATCAGTGTAAATGCATTTAACAAATCTTTGGCTGACTTAGCTGTTGCTTGAATCTGAATGCAACGTGGCTTTTCTTTGCACTTTAATGTAATGCAAATGAAGAGTCCATTGATATGAATGTCTGGAGAAGGCATACATTAGTGTTGTATAGGTGTTTACTCTCACTTGCTCCTATTCAGATAGAATAAAATCCAAGTTATGCAGTTCTGGTTCTTGGCTTTGTATCATGAATACGTTAAAGCCTAAAATATCATCCTCAAATTTAGCTACATATTGAAACCTGAAATATAATCCTAAATCTAAAACATAAACTTAATCCTAACGGAAATTTCTCAACAATTTACTCTGTCCAACTAACTTCACCAAAATAGATGAAAGAAACTAGACTTAATTCTTTTTCCATTGCAGTGTATGCAGCATCATTTTTCCATAATCCTCCTCACCAATGTCTCAGTGTTTTCATTTTAAAAATCTGTAGTGAAGACATGTGGAAAACAGTCTTTTACTTACAATTCTCAACACTAATGTTGATGTCCCTTGCCACTGAATGCATCTAAATGAATCTTTACGGACGCTAGGCCATGTCTACACTATGTGGGAGATCGATGTTGTCACAATCGATCTTTTGGGGTTTGAATTAGCGGATCTAGTGAAGACCCCCCCCAACTCTAACTGAGAGGGCGCCCCCATCAGTGTTGGTATTCCTGCTCCTTATGAGGAGTAAGGGAACCTGATGGGAGTGTTTGCTCCAGTAGACCTCCTACTGTGCTGATGGCAAAAAAACCTAATTTAAGATACTTTGTTATACATGTCAATAATGAGAGGACTAATGAACCCTGTAGTCTGAGGGAAATGTGTTAGTTTTTGTTGAAGACTAGTCATGAATATCACAAGTAATATTACATTTTATAAGTTTTACAGTAATATTTAGTGAAACAAGAAAAGATGTTCACATAATGGCATTGATAATTATCCAACTAGAGGTTTAGTGGTACCATTGAAATAAAGGACAATTTTATAGACTGGATCTGGGTGTTTCTGTAATATGAGGGGAGAAGAAAACCTACAAACAAACAAACAAACAAACAAACAACTAACTTTGGGATGAATTTTACATTTTTAATTTAAGTTAACAATAAATGAAAACTCAAGAAAATGGGTGGGGTTGGGGTGGCTAGGGTGACGTGTGTGTCTATGTATTATCTTAGGTACAGGCTGAGAATGCCTACTACTTATTCTCCTCCTGAAGATATTGCTTAAGTAAGATCTTGAGAAAATTGTTGTAAAATCAGAGGGTATGTCTACACTACTCCCCTAGTTCGAACTAGGGGGGTAATGTATGCATACCGAACTTGCTAATGAAGCCCGGGAAATTCCAATCCCGGGCTTCATTAGCATAAAGCCGGCTCCGCCATTTTTAAAAGCCGGCTTGTTCGAACCCCGTGCCGCGTGTAGCCTCGTGGCACGGGGTTCGAACAAGCCGGCTTTTAAAAATGGCGGAGCCGGCTTTATGCTAATGAAGCCCGGGAAATTCCAATCCCGGGCTTCATTAGCATAAAGCCGGCTCCGCCATTTTTAAAAGCCGGCTTGTTCGAACCCCGTGCCGCGTGTAGCCTCGTGGCACGGGGTTCGAACAAGCCGGCTTTTAAAAATGGCGGAGCCGGCTTTATGCTAATGAAGCCCGGGAAATTCCAATCCCGGGCTTCATTAGCAAGTTCGGTATGCATACATTACCCCCCTAGTTCGAACTAGGGGAGTAGTGTAGACATACCCAGAGTAAGGACCTCAGGATTTGGCCTTCAAGGCATATTGCAAATACTTATATATGTAATGGGGCAAAGAGACAACCTATGTGACACAGATGAATTTGACGCAGTAACGTGCTTCTTCTGTAACTAAATTGTTTAATTAAAATTGTTTTAAAGTCTTTATGATCAGATAAAAAGATCTTAATCATTTTGACCCAGATTATTTAGACCATTTATGTCAATGAGCGCTAACTCATGATTAGACCCACTGAAGCCAACAAGATTACTCTCATGAGTAAGTTCTCACTGCAGGGAGCAAGGCTTGAACAGTCTGGCACTAGGTGAATTCAGTCTCTAAGATGATCAACTCAAAATTTCTTATTCCCCAAACTCAATAGTCCTCTATTCATCCATAGACAAGGAACATATGAGCAATGGAAGGCGATGTCTACACTGCAGAGTTTTTCCTGGTACAGAGGTATCCTGGAAAAACTCCACGTGCCATGCTCTGCCGGTCTTTTTTTGTGGAAGAGCAGACGCGTTCTTTCAGAAGAGCCCTGTATTCCTCATTTTATGAGGAATAAGGTCTCTTCCAAAAGAGTTTTTTCTAAAATTTGGGCCCAAGTAGACTGGCCAAATTTCATAAAAGCCTTTTCCGAAAAAACAATCAGAAAAAGGTATGCAAAGTGCAGAGCGCAATTTGCGTACCTTTTTCTGAAAAACAAAAAAAGCAGCAGTCTAGACATAGCTGAAGTTTTTTCTTCAAGCCACTCTGCATGTACATCACATTCTTGCTGCAGAAGGGTGAGAGGGTAGATTCATCTACATGTTCCTCCAGTATCTGAAACTATTGCAAAAGCTGCTAAATAGTACCATTTCTGTTGACATGAACATTGGTCTATGCAACCCATTTCACATACACTATTGAATAGCCATCATATCATAATTATGAGTCATTGTCTTCTATCCTGGATTTGAACCAAATGCCTAGAGGTGGCAGACACTGTTACTGTTATGGAACAGCCATCCCCATCATATTCCCACAAATAAGTATTTCAATTTCTCTGTCCTGTCCCCTTCTATCTTCCACAATAATTGAGAATTCGTTGATTTAGGCAAGTTGTTGGTGCTTGCCTTATTTTTTCCCTTATAAATGTATTAGCTTTTAATACTCATTTCTTTGCAGAAACTTTCAAATTTAGTTTTATACTGAAAATTGAATAATTACATCTATTTTTTGTTCCAGCTCTAATGTTCTTGGACTCATTCTGTGACTGAACTGACCTGGCATGCTTTCAGAAAAGGAAGGAGATCTATTAACAATTTCTTTTGCCACTGATATGCTTTTTTATGAAAGCCAATGAAATTATTATGGTAATGAAGAGTCCAATACTGATCCCTACAGGACAATTATACTCAAAGCAGAGATAGCAGCTTCAAACTACATGTTATTTTCTTTTGAAAATATTTATGCTTTGGAGAGGGGGAAACTTCATAGTAAGAGATGCCTTGGTTTTATTCCATTGTTACCTTTTTAACCATTCTCCAGGCCCCATTTTCATGCATAAAGGCCAATTATTGCATGTTCTTCTTCAGGGATTGTCCTGTGCCACTAATTGTTCTTTCTTGCTGAATACACGACCCACTAACATCCAGTGTTGCCAATTCTCGTAATTTTATTTGTGAATTTTCTGATATTTGGTCTTTCTCTTTGGCTATGTCTAGACTGCAAGCCTCTTTCAAAAGAGGCTTTTTCGAAAGTATCTTTTGAAAAAGCCTCTTTCGAAAAAGAGCATCTAGACTGCAAGCAGTACTTTCAAAAAAGCAAGCCGCGAGTGAGTCTGGATGCTCTCTTTCTAAAAAGCCCTGTTGGCATTCAAGAACGCCTTTTTTCGAAAGAGCACTTTCGAAAAAAGGCGTTCTTCCTCGTGAAATGAGGTTTACCGCCATTGAAAGAAAAGCCGCGTTCTTTCGATTTAATTTCGAAAGAACGCGGCTGCAGTCTAGATGCAGGTGAAGTTTTTTCGAAAAAAGGCTACTTTTTTCGAAAAAAACCCTGAGTCTGGACACAGCCTTTAAGTCCTAGCACTTAGGGCATATTGTTATATGGGGAAAAAAAAACAACAACCAGTTTTCTAACTCTTATTGCTTGAAACACGACCCCTTCAAAGTTCAAAATCTAAAAGACACATAAAAAGAACACTTATGATTTTAAAATCTCTGGTTTTTAATTGTGGGGGAGGACTGATTCATGATTTTTTAATCGTTTTGACATTACTGCCAAGTCTCCTTTCTGTTGCATTAATGTTGATTCTATCTACAACTGTAAAACAACATAATTTTTTTTATGTTACTGTGATGGGGTGGCGCAACCCTGCACTAACCGGGCCCCCCCCTGGTTAGTGGCTTTCCCCACCCTGGGTGAAGCAGCGGCTGCGGCAGGAGCAC